GCATGGGTCCCATTAACAACCAATAGAATACAAACTAAAACTAATTTTAATTATTTTTTAATAGTTAATGTAACTCTAGGCCCAATAAAATAAATATTTGACACGTCCATTAGAAAAGAAGAAGATTTAGCACTTGTATTCAATTTGCCACATTAGCCATCAAATAAAATTTTGACATACTTTATTTGACATATCATTTGGAGATGCTCTTAGGATGCTTCTTTAGGTTGAAAACATGTAGTGTGAATTAAATCAAGTAAAAGATGAAATACACATCAGACCGTCAACATAAAAATACATTCAAAACTTCCAAATTAATGAAAGGGTAAAAAGAAGCAACAATGCATGCTACAAAACCTATTCTTTGAACAAATGTAAGAAGAATGCATCAAGTTAAAAGATAAGAAAACAATCTTATTTTCATTTCCATTTTGTTCATCCATAATATTTTGTTGCAATTTTAAATGATTACGACTAAGATAGGAATTTGAATATGTCAAATTCGTGTTTGTATTTCTCTGTTATAGTCCTACTTCCTATGTTACTTTAAGGTCTTTTTTCATTTGTTGACATTTTAAAAATTTGATTCACAACATTTTTCCTAAATATTGTTGTCCTCCAGGACAATTCAGACTCATTTGCAGTTTATTTCAATCTTCCAAGTACTTGATGTATGGCATACATGCCTCGGAAGAAAGAGACTTCTATGAGATTTTAAGCAACCATTTCATAGGTTTGTAGCATGTTTTATTACATAAGAGGCGGTGGGTGCTAATGTGTAATCTTAATCATCCCCATCTAGAGACAAAAGTTGACGGAAAATGACATCAATTGTTATGTGTTAATTGCATACAAACTCATTCATGAAACAGGCTTTCAACCTGAAAACCATACAATTAACACACAACAATTGATGTCATTTTTCGTCAGCTTTTGTCTTTGGATAGGGATGATTAAGACATGCACATTAGCACCCACCACCTCTTATATAATAAAACATTATGCAATCTTAGGAAATGATTGCTTAAAATCTCATAAAAGTTTTTTTCTTCCAAGGAAAAGGTTGCCACACATCAAGTACTTGAAAGACTAAAATAAACTGCAAATGAGTCTAATTGTCGTAGAGAACTACAATATTTTGGGAAAATGTCTGAAGCTCCTAATCATGGATGAGTCACCTAAAAGTGATCATTTGAAAGACCATTCAAAGGAAAAGGTTGCGCACCACTTTTGTTGTGCAAGAGGCTGAAGCAGAAGGATCAAGAATGAACCTATAGAAGTTCAAAAGGAAAAACTGAATGGCTGACTAAGTAAATGAAGGATCAAAGTTTAATGATGGGAATCAACCCCAAGTAAAAAGTGCATTCACATTCACACAATCACCTTACTTGTACTGATGGTCAGGGACTTCTAAGGAGAAAACATTTAATGCGTCAAAATTCTGGGAAACTCTACCTCAGTTTATGACAACTACAGAACAAGCATGACTTCAACTATTATTCCGTCTCACCAATTTATATCATTCAAATGATGTACAAAACGGTAATCAAATCTTGACAATTACTAGTTAACTACTAAATGCTTTAACAAGTTAAAAGAAAGATGGTGCATTGATACTAGTCCCAAAAGGACAATTTATAGATGTGGAAATTTTAATATATTTCATGCCTAAAGAATGATAGACGTATAGGTTCTAATGGTTCAACACTTCAACTCCCTAGAAGTGGAGATTAAAAATCCAAGCTTTATAACACTCTAGAGGAGGTTATGATCCACATTCTCTAAACAATTCATCTTATAAGAGATGATTTTCCTATAAAAGACAATGTAAGCCCCTGAAGAGGCAAGGATATCCAATGCAATGAAATGCTTATAAACTATTCATGCCTATGCACATGAGAATTGTGGGATCATGAATTAATGATAATCAATAATAATTCTGGTTTTACAATAGTTACTAGATTCATCAATGAGTAGTGTTGATATTGAGTCACATTCTTGTGTTAAACGTCGATGAAAAATTACTAGCCAAAATGGAAAGGGGCAATTCCATTACAATTTAGTATGAACGTGGAGAAATGGACGTATACTAAATCTCTAAAGATGTTAAACCCAGAAGATTATATATAGGCAATTGTGATACAATGAAATGCACTCACATGATAGGTTTCTAGTTGAAACCTGAAATAGTGATATACTCAAGTAAACATGATTTCTCATTTATGAAACAAGTTCACTTCATTTCATATGAATGGAGAGTTATATATGATACGAAGAGTTATGAAATGATGGAAGCATATATCCATAAGTAATTCCATATAGTATGCATTAAAGTAAATTGCTCTGTATAAATTCCAAAGGATAATGTGTCATGAAGTGTAGAAGATTTTGAAGGATTCAAAAGCAAGCCCTGGAAGGGTAAAGCACAAATTATATACTGAACACCAATAAATGATATAAATTGCCTTGATGAATACTTTTATTATAATATGGTTGCAACATGCTAAACCTTTTGCAAGAGTAGATACTATATTGGGACACTTGAAGACACTAGAAAGATTATAAAGTATTGAAAGACAAATATTGTGTTGAACTACAGATCGAGCAACATGTCCACGTGGACGCTATGTCATTAGTTAACAGAGATTCTGATGAAAAATTTAACGAATGTAGGAAAGTGTCCCATAATTATAAGTTTAGGTGCCAGATTGAGACGAAAAATACTTGATGTATGAAATGTTGAAAACCAAGAAATTTCAAAGTAATAAACTAAGATTAACCCTAACTTTTTAATGCATGGTCCCATTGACAACATGGGGTGAAAACTAACTATGGGGCCCAATATATAAATAAAATAAAGATTTGACATATCCATTGAAAATAAAGAAGATTTAACATCGATATTCAATTGGCCTCACCAGCAATCAAATAAAATTTTGACATATTATATTTGACATCTCATTTGGAAATACTCTTAAATTTAATAACATACTTCTAAATATGCAAAATTATTATCTTATTAACAATGAACATATTTTGATTCTTATGGCAGCAATGTATAAACAAAGAGGGAATAAGAAAAAAAAGGTATTTCTTCGTTTATATTCTTTAGCTTTCACTATGCCAGATCTCATCGGATTCAAGACCTAGGAATCACTGAAGCTATTTTTTGTCGAACAAAACCAGGTTATATGGGTAGTCTGGTGTTGCAAGAGATGGTAGATAGGTGGTTCATGGGCAAGGGCGGATCCAACTTGGGGCAAGGTGGGTCATCCAAGTTTAGAAATCCTCCATGGAAGAGCTTGGTGCTGCCCTTTGAAAATCTGCAATGCTCTTGAAAGCTGCCCTTCAACTACTTGACGAATTGCCTCTATGGGCACTGGGCAGGGTAGTTGCTAACCTTATGGCTTTGTATGCATTGCTATGGGCATCTTTCAATAGGCTCACTCGGCATATGTTGGCATGTTCGCCCAAAAGTTATTGACATCAGTCGACATGCTCAATCAGAAGTTGTTGACATATGTCGTCGGGCGTGCAATATGACTTCGCAAACAACCTCATGCCTACTAAGGCTTGATGGATGCTAATTTGCATGTTATTCTGTTCAAAAATTTTGCGCCCCTATTCTTATTGTTCCCCCTAATAATATTTCCTAGATCCGCCACTGCTGATGGGGAGGATAAAGAGATTATGAAAAATATATCAGGTTATTATTGTACTTTAACAAGTTTCATTAAACTGCTCTCCGCCTCTTTCAAATTCAATTTGCGCAGAAGCTTTTTCAAGTTACCTTCAAAGTAGCTTTTTCACACCACAACTTTTTCAAAAAGTAGAGGTTAGGTCACTTACCAAAGAAAAATACAAGAGAGACCATCGTTTTAAACCATATTTTATAAATCAAATTACGTGACGATTGATGGTTAGATTTCATTTTAATGATTTAAAAAAATAATCCAACCATCAATCGCTACATCATGTAGTCTACAAGTATGGTCTCTTTAACATAGCTAAACACTTAATCAACTAAAACATTTTTATAAGGTAGAAAGCTCACCCAGACAAGCAAACTCGGTAGCACCGGCATTGGAGAATTCTTGAATATAGTAATACGAATCTGTACTTATAAACGCACTGGAATGATTTATACCGTGTTTGGCCAGGTTAGGACCAACAAATTTGGAGCTTTTCTTCTTCCTTTTCGTTTTATTTTTTTAATGAACAATTGGAACATGGAAATGGACTAATGGTCATGGCGGTGGAAAATTCCAGCCAAATGCTCCGTTTGCACTTGTTTCGTTGCTCTATATTAATCTTTTTTTTTATTAGGAAGGAATATTCTAATTGTCTTCATATTATTACTTCTTAATTACAGGTTTGTTCATTTCGTTTTCATAATTAGGTTCTTTCAATATTTAAGTGGTATTGATGGGACCCTATCTATTTGGACCTCGGGAATGTGAGGAATTGATGAGAGTTGTCCAACGTCAGAAAGTTAAAGAGCCTTGCATAAACTTATAAAAAATTGCGTTAGTCTTTTATTATAAATACGTTTTAGGGTGGAACCCTACCTTTCGTAAGAGAACATACATTTTGGTGAATACTATGAAGTTGATTGTACTAGCCTTGAGTTTATTCCACCACCAACTCAATACTTTGAACTAGAAAGTTCAATCCGAGACAAACAAAAAAACAAGAGACTTCTCTATTCCATGAAAGAATGACAAGGAATACGATGAATGGAAGTTTTTCTCGAGATTAATCCTTAACTAATAAACTTAGTGGTTGTATTAATTCCAAACCTTTGTATCTAGAAGTAAGATCTCTAGTGAACTGTATGGTAAATTGTTCACAGTTATACAGAAGCTAAAATGTGATTCATAGTTCGGTTCATGGCAGCTCATCTTGTCACCAATGGCATCGACATTGTAAACCCTAAAATACATATAATTAGGTCGGAAAAACAAGAACGCGAGATGGAAAATGTCAAGTGAGAACTGAAATACATATAATTAGGTTTCGATTTACATTTTATTAGAGTCACACAAACAGATGACACAAGAATAGTCACTAATTTCTCCATTGCTTCGAAAAAAGCAGACCAAATTGAGAAGCAACTCGTTTAGAATCAATATACCTTCTCTTGAACGTCGTCGTACATGTTTTAACATTTACAATCCTACTTTACAAGATTGACAGGGCGCAAATGAAGGAATCAGTGTAAGTACTCATTGCACTACTATTTTACCTCAGAGCAATTATTTGCGTCTACGGGTTCTTTCAAGCAGCTAGATATTGCCATCACCGCAGATTCAATCGCTCCATCTTCTCCCTGTTCCATCCAGCAGGTACAATCATATTATTTTCTCAAGAAAATGTCGTGCATTGCAATGCAAACAACCACATAACAACTTCAGTTATTGAAAGAATAGGGCCCTAACTTCACCTTCTCTTTCCAGTAAAACATATTTCCATACTTCCCTGCCAAGCGGCTCCAAAAGCTGCGTGGAACATCTAGATCAACTGAAGCTCCCACGTTGAAGTTTAGTATATTGCCTGCTCAAAGAGATCAAGAGACACATTAATTAACCTAGGAAAGAAAAGCGTAAATATAACAGATCAGTGAGTATGTGTTCAATACCAAAGGTCGGATCAGCAACAAAGACAATAGTTCTATCATCCACTCGCCAGAAATCTTTAATCGCTAAACCTGCAAAAAGTTGGAAAACAAAACTGTAAAAGCCATGTAAATGTGATATTCTCAGACTATCTCAAACATAATCTGATTTACGATTTGGCAACCTGACTTGTTAGACTGCATGACAAGGGAACACTTTCTCGCGTCAATCCATATTTGAAACAAGAAAACAAAAGCAAACTACTCTGCTTAGTGAATGCCAAAGCCTTACAAAACGTTGAGCAAACCTGGTGTGTCAGGATAGTTCTGGGCAAGAACCCTCAGCTTGTATCCAGTATACTTCTCTATATCAGCAATCTCTTCGGCTAGTCTTTTCTCCTGGAAAAATTTTACCATACATATCATACTTGAGCTCAATTTAATTCTCTGATTTCATTCCAAAGGTTTTAAAAATAAAAATAAAAAATCCCATTTCCCAATATAACTTACATGCAAGTTTTCCAATTTTTCCAACCCTAAAATCTAAGAAAAACAATTGAAAAACCAAAAGGGAAATTCTATTTGAATACATGTTTTGTATCTCTACACCCAACTTAAATTTTTAAGTATACCCTATTTCACAATTACCGTCAAGGACAAGATGCAACTAAAATTAAATTTAAAATTTATCAATACACCCTCATCAACAGTAACCAAACCCTCACACAATCTCTTCAACCCACAGTCCATTCTCGCTAAAACCCTCACCGGCTCTACCTCCTATTAAAATAACGGAATAACCAACAGATTGTCCCAAGCCATACAAAATTCGACATGTAATAAAAATACTCTATAGCGAGGCAAAGGGTAAATGTGCAATAACAACAAGAAGGCCTTATCCCACTAAGTGGAGTTGGCTATATGAATCCTAGAATGTCATTGCGCTCGGTTTTGTGTCATGTCTTCTGTTAGATCCAAGTAGTCCAAGTTTTTTCTTAGAGTCTCTGTCCAGACCCAGCTTGTAGAGATTCGGATGTAACAATGGTTGAATGTATAAATTTGTTAAATTGGCAACAATGGTTTTATATGGATATGTTCTATATTGGCAAGACAGAATACCTAGTTAGTTAAGAACATTTAAACACACAAGAATTCAATGAACTCAAACTAACTATGCAGAACACTACTACATTCATGGTCATTGAATCCAGAACATAAGTGAGTCCACAGAAACCAAAGCATACAAACCGAAAACCAGAAACTTAAAGATATGAATTAGGACCTGGCCATCAGAGAGGAAGCCAGCTACATCAATTACAGGGCTAAACTCTTTGGGAAGCAATTCTGGTTTGTTCACTCCAACTTTTGCCTCTGCAATTCCTGCTCCTACACAAGGATAAATGGAGTTTTTACATTTCTGGTGTTCTATGTTATATTATATGCAATAGAAGAAAAGGATAACAAAAACATGGAAAAGCTTGCCTGACCTGAGAGAGAGAGTCCGAGAGTGAGAGCCCCTGAGAGCACTAAATTTAAAGACTTCGACCGGAACTCCGAGACCCAGTTGTTGGAATTGGCTGTGGGCTTTTGGGTTGAAGGGAGATGACGAGACGACGTAGTGACAGTGATGGATGGTTTGAATGCAGGACGTGAGGTTGGGTGGGAAGTGGGCGACGGACATGGCGGATGGAGATATGCCATGGTTTCCTGGTTCTGGTCTGGCACCGTGGCAGCTGAAAAGGTTGTGGATAATGGGATGTTAATCTTTTTCTTTTATTTTTAGTGTAATTTTCACATGGAAGTGGCAAGTTCCTTTAATTTTGAATTTGGGTATGGTTTCAATGTTACATATGATTTAATATTACTGTTGGCTTGGCCGTTAGAATTAGTTTCTTTAACTATTTAAATCTTCTATTTTCACTAACGTAGCATTGAATGATATAGGAATAAATGAATGACTAATGTTTAATGTTAATGTCTCCTACAGTTCGTTTTGGTAATTATTTCGTCAAAATTGAGAATGACCCTTCATTCTTAAAAGTCTCAATTCATTGTAAGTGGTCTTTTACCACAATAGTGAAAATGTGTTGAGCCCTTGCATGACGGCGTGGGTTCGAACCTTGTCGATGGTTAATCTAAAATCTAATCTAACAAAATCTATCATTTGACAAATTTTTTTTTTTTTTTTTTTTTACTAATTTACTAGAATTCCAAGTAGTTATGTGAAATTAAACTTTGATGGGTCAGTTAGTTTGGATCATTCTACAACTGCTTTTGTTATTAAGAAATGAGGAGGGACAACCTGTTGGTGTTGGGGCATTGCACCTTGATGGCGCCACCATTTCGGTTGCAGAAGTCGTTGCTTTAAAGGAATAACTTTTGTTCGCTAGGCGCAAAGGTGTGAATAAGTTGATGGTGAAAAGGGATTATAAGCTTGTCATCCAGGTGGTGCAAGATGTTTGGATGCCTCATTGGCATCTTAAACCTATCATAGAGAACATCAAATGGTTGGCTTTAGAATTTCGGCATATCAGTTGAAAGCATATTTATAGGAAGGCTAATTTCGTGATGAACGCATTAGCTCATGTGGGCCTCAATGTTGCCAATCCACATTTTTGGATTTTTGTCTTCTGATTTCGGCTATGAAAGCTTTTAATTTTAATTGTATAGGAAACGGTTGTTTTAGAGGTTTTAAGCTTTAATAAATTTATTCTTCATAAAAAAAAATAAAAAATAAAAACTAATTGAACTTGTGAATGTAACATTTTTTTAACATAATATGCCCTCATAAGTTGGTCATATGCATTGAACCATGTGATGAATTAACGGAACCATGAAAATTTAGGGGCCTCAAAATCTATTTCAAGGTTCGAAGAGGAGTGAAATAACATCCAAAATTCATGGGGCATTACTTGTTTTTCATTTATTTATTTATTAATAATTTTGTCCACGAGATCACATGTTGTCTAATATCTTAGTGAATAGGATGTTGAATTTATACTCATACGTTTCAGGTTTAATACTCCTTTCCAAGATAGCATAATAATTTCGAACCCTTCCTCTCTCATAATAGTAATAAATTGAAAAGAAAAAAACCAAATTTCTCGTCTACGAGATTTGAGCTGAAAAACAGCTTATTTAAATAAATTGGAGACTGAGAATAGCTAGACTAGTAGACTGGCTATATTCCAACGTCATATTTTACTTTTTTTATGTGATTTGTAAGTGAACGCAATTATCCAACATTTTATGGGTTTTTGCATATGATTCAATATCCTAATTAATAAAGTGTTGTGTTTCTACCATGCATCTCGAGTTCAAAACTCCTCTCCTCCTAAATTAATGTAATACTTTCAATGAAGTCATGGATTCCATAGAAAGGATTCAGAACTGCTTGGCAAGAAAATGAGAAAGCTCACAGCCTCAAGGTGAATAACCTAGCTCCACTAACCTTTGATAACAACCTTTGTAAAGCAATTCCCAGTCCCTTTTTTTTCTTTTCTTTTTCTGAGTACGACGATATATTTTTACACTAAGAGGAAGAGGGAGTTCGGCTAAGCCATACTAGGCAACCTCATTTGGTATTGAATTCGTCATCCACAAGATTTGAACTTAAGACCTCTCACCTACAAGTGAAGAAGAATACCACCAGACTGGAGTACTAAGTAGCAATCCCAGTCCCTTTTTACCAAGTGCATTTAATCTTAGGACCTAAGCTAGAGGACTTCAATGACACTCTTAAGGACTTTTGTCCTTGGAGAAGTTAAGGGAGGGGTTCATTCCCTTAAACGTTAGGACAATAATCCTTTCTATTAGCACATTATGCAAACAGGACGCCTGAGGTTAAGTGGCAATCTTCCCAATCAAAACACTATTAAGAACCCTTATAAGACTGACATTATTCACTTGTCCAGAAGAGAACGAAGCTGAATCCTGTAGTAACGCAGCTACGAGAGTTCTCCAAACAAATCTCTCGCAGAAAAGTTCTCACATACATCTTAATCATGCAGCTAATTACCCAAAATAATGCTTTTCAACCTAAACAATTTTTCCCCCACCTACCAATTCCCAAAATGTACCAAATAGCTTGCAATGTGCTAGCAATCAAGATAGTTTTGCATTAGCTTATGCAACTTTTATCCCGAAAAGGCCAGCATCATGTTTGAATAAGAATGACAAAATATGTTACGATGCTTGTCAGATATCGTTACAAATGCAGAGATTCAAAGGAAAAGATTTTTGCAAACCACTTTTCCGCACGCCCGTGTTTATTTATGTTCCTGGATTCCAAGGCTATAAAAAATAGGGGCGTGCATGGGGAGCAAAAGGGCGTGCGGAAATCATTTTCAAACTCAATCACCTGCAGAAAAAATGATCACATCACACAACTCAATGGCATTAGCAACGACAAAGGAGGAAATTCGGATTTAAGCACTCGATTCAATACAGAATATGATTACAATGAAGAAGCACAATAAACCTTATAACCCTTCATGCTATGAGAGTTTCAGCAAAGTCGAATTCGAAACAAGAGCATGCCCATTTCAACATACAAGTAAAAACAGCTAAGGGAAGTAAACAGGCCAGTTGAAATAGTAGGACTCCCTGTGGTCCCTGTCCATGTACTCGTTCCACTGCAACAGCAAAAAAAAATTTTAAAAAAAAATTCCCTTAAATTATAGGGCTCCAAAATTTTCAAAACCCACAAAATTACCAATTGGGTTTCATAAAAATCGGTAGAAAGCTTCAAAATTTCAGCTTTTTTTTTCAACTTTTGAGACACAACCAACCAAACATACCTTAAATTTGTAGGGCTCCCCTTTCTTCATGGCCTTCTTCCAGTGGTACTGCTCAAACAGCATTGCTTTGTCATGCCAACTGCAAAAAAAAATTTCAAAATTGGGAAAAAAATAAATTCAGAAATTCAATAAACACAAAATTACAACCAAATCACAAACTGGATAATCGTCAAAACTCAAAAAACGGTGACATACTTGAACTGATTGGAGAGCTGCCACATGTAGGGATTGACCCAGGTGAGGGCTGAGAAGGCGGCGGACCCGATCCATATGTTCACAAATCGTTCCGGGTCGGCGTGTGGGACCCCCGGGTCGCCTCTGTATGCGTTACCGAAGTACTTCTCCATTTCTCAGTCTCTCCGTTGCTCTCTGCGCTCTCTTATCCTCCACCTCCCATGAACACAATGAGCAGATATATATACTCTTGAGTTTTGATATTTGGGCCCTGACGGGTGTAACAGGCCCGTACAAATCCCGAGCCCAAAACCCAAACATGGGCCCTCCTAATCTGTATTAATTATTAAAACAGAAGTATTATTAGCACTCCAAAAATTTTATTCTACACTCCTCACAAATGTATTTTTCTTTCCAAATATAAAAAAATTTGGAGTGTAGAATGAGATTTTTGAAGTGCCAATAACAATTCTCTTTTAAAAAGGGGAGTTGGGATTTTGATTACAGACTCATGAGTCATGACGAAAAGTTCTAGGATACTTTAGAATACAGAATATTTCGGACTTTTGACATGTAAGATTCTAGTTTTTGTGTGTTAAAATAAAAATCTAATAGTTTAAATGTTTGGAATATCAGATAATCTAGACCACCGTAAAAAAATCTTTACTCTTTACCCAATTTATTATAATGGACTACTTGAAAAATTACAGATCGAAAATCTAACGTGCAAATCTTTCGAATTGAATTACTACGGTTATTGACTCTACTGTTGAACTTTGAACAAGGGTTGACTTTTGTAATTGATGTGTTATTTGGACCCGATTTTACACTATCGTCCCGAGCAATCGAAGCCGTTGGTTGAGCATAGTTCTAGATCGGCGGATGGAAAGATAATTTTGTTATTAAAAGATAATATTATGGTTTTATCATAATAATTATCTTTTGGTAAAGAATTTTTTTTATATAAGATAAATGGGATGCAAACTATATCTCAAAGCTTTGAGACTTTTATCTAGTTAAGCAAAAATTTGGGCGCAAATTAAATGTTGGTCAGATAGGACTATAAGGAGATATGGATGAGATTGAAGACTATTGCCGTGCAAAAGTTGGATTTGCAATTCACATTGTATGTGTGGTTGCATCTGACCAAATATCATGGAAAAGAAAGTTTTATGGTTGCATTGGGAGTTTTAATGGGATAAAGCAAGGCATTGATAGGAGTTCTGACTATGATGTGATAAGCCTAGAAGTCTAGATAGGTTTAAAGCCACGGATAGCAATCTGAAGGGTAGGCCTCTGACACGGGTCAGTTTTTGCTTCGCGAGTTTGAGTTGTAGCCGGACTCTGCAATATTATCAGACCTTGCCAAGCAGAAAATATGAATACTATAAATACAAGACTCAGTGCAACATTCAAGGGACCTCCAATTCAACACACAACTGCACTGTGCAAACCTCTTAAACATCTTGATATTTTTTATTTTCTTTTTTTGCCAGCACATCTTCAGTTTGGATAAACAGCACTGTGAAGGCAACCGGTGACATCTTCAGTTTGGATAAACAGCATTGTTGCCGTATACTCAGTCGTTCCCGGAGCATCTTCAGTTTGGATAAACAGCACTGCATCGAGGTCGACTAGCTATCTATCCAAGTCTCGGTTGAGAAGGATTTTCGAATCCTTATTGGCAGAGGTCATCTCATTAGCCTTTTCGGCGAAGCGAGGTGTTACCAAGTTACTACATTCGACACCCTAAATTTGATATTGAACTTCGCAGAATTAGCAGCCTTGTCTTCAGGCTCTAGAACCCGAAGGCCAAGACGTGTTCGTTCCTCGGCCGTAATCGCAATATCAAGAAGTCAACGATGCGCTCAACATAACATCAACAAATTTTACTTCTCGGCCGACGAGTTGGGACGCCCCGCATACAATTGAAGGACGTAGTTAGCTCATTAGTTACTCGGTCTACGCGCCACGTAGGCTTTGTAATTTTTAGGGTCAACATGTGTACAACCTAGAATTATGTGTTTTATCACTAGAATTCTAAGAGCGGACTTGTAATTTGTTTAGGCGACGATTGTACTTAAGCGCCTCAATCGTTGTGCTAGGGCATCGTAGCGCGAATTCCAACTTTAATATATGTGTTATTGGTTATTACTCCAAAAATTATCATGCTTGTATATTTAGTGGATATGGCATGGATTTACAAAATGTGTTTTTTTATTAATTATTGCTTTTAAATTCAATCATTGTTCTATTTCTATGAAATGTGGTTTGCTATAAATATTTGAAATGTCTGTGAAATGTGAGGGCTAGTAGATGACCGTTAACCTATTGTCATGAGAATTATGACATAGAACTCGTATCCTGTCTAGTTCCATGAAGCTGTTCCGAACTAGGTTTCTAGAATTCTACTCGGTTATGTTGAGTGGTCACAAACAATGTTTTGCTTGGGTTCCATTGAGTGGTCCGAAATTCCTCTTTCTAGACGATTCCGTTGAGTAGTCTGGAATTGTGTTATGTTTGAATTTTGTTGAGTGGTCCAAATCCCGCTTCGTACTTGATTCCGTTAAGTTGGTCTGGAACCCTCCTCCGCTTGGATCCTGTTAAGTGGTCCAAAATTTCATTTCCTACTCGGTTTCGTTGAGTGGTCTAGAACTCTATCTTCGCTGGATTACATTGAGTGGTCCAGAAGTCCTTTTCTATTTCTGTTCCATTTAGTGGTCTGGAACCCTATCTTCCTTGGATTTTGTTGGTCTAGAATGCAAAAATTTCGGAGTTATAGGCTTCGGCTGAACTGTGTCGCTCTAACCCTAGTTTTCAACATATTTATGAAATGGATGTTTGGGTCACTCATTTAGAATTTTCATCGAATTGTTGATCTTTTTATGATTGGTATTTATATGCTGAGATTGATGGACTTGTTTTATGGTTATCACATACGTTGGATTATTTCACTCACACAAGCTTTGCGGCTTATTCGGGTTGTTGCTTTGTCAGGTGCACCATTCTCACGGTGTATGAGGCAATTGTGCAGGTGACAGGGTATAATAGATACGGGGTACTTCCAGGGTAGCAATGAAAAGTTCAGAGAGCTTGGAGTGACTATGCCTTCATATCTTCCTTGCATTCCTTTTGAACTATCTTTTTGGGAGACTAAGGGTATATTGCCCTAGCGAGGGTTATGAGCTTTTGTTGTACAATTGTTATAAATTTTGGGGTAGAGACACCACCAACTTACTTTACTTGTGAATTTCAATATCAGTATTCTTTTGTGTATTTTGTTTGTCTTTCCTTGCACTTGAACCCCCAAACAACACGCATTGATTCTAGACACATTTCAGAATTGGGACGTGAAATAAATTTCAAGGACTTGTAACATGGTTGATATCTACGAGTACGATGCTAATGAAGAGTCGTTGTATGCAGAGGCAACTTGAGGATGAGTTGTTCTTTTTTTTTTTTTTTTTCAAGTGGAGGGAACTGATTCAGCGTAGCCATCTTGATTAGGAATTATTTATTTACAGGCAATAAGATATAATTTAGTTTGTCTTTTTTCTGTGTTGTTTATGTTTTCCCCGAAAGAATTAGGAGACAATCCTATATAAAGCCTAGTTGTTCTCTGCTGTATTTAGCAAATTCAGATTATATCAATTGAACTTTGTATTTTATTTAATCTTGTGGATTTCAGAAATCCTATTGTTGGTGTGTTTTAAGTTTGAGACGCTAGGATATGGTTGATATGTGATTCAATATTCTAGTAGATTAGGATGTTTTCCTAGTTAGAAACTCTCTTTACCTTTAACTTATTATAATTAGGGGTGGTTCGGTATGGGATACCATACCGAAACTAGTATCCCGAATCCCAAACCGAAAATTTTTGGGACGGGAATTTGAAGACCAATCCCAAACCAAATTTTCGGGAATCCCAAATTTCGGGAATCCCGAAATATTTTCGGGATTTTGGGACAAATCGGGAATCCCAAATTGAAATATGAAATTATGAATTGTTCTTCAAATATATAATTCAAGAACACATTCATGAACTAGGAATTTCATTTCATTCACACTACCATTTAATTGAACATTGACATGCTTGACTATTTTTATCATAGTCAAAATTCAAATTAATTAAACCCTTTTTGCAATCTGTTGAGAGACAAAAGAATCAAGCATTCTGAAATCATCAGCCCTAGTAGCAGCAATAATAAAATCCACATGAATATCAAACAGAATATGAAAAATATGCAAGGTGTAGGGCATTCCAGGTTGCCGAGTATGAATTAGAAACTACTAGCATCAATTATAAAAGAATAATATATATATGTATAAATATATATATATATATAAAATAATAATTAATATATATATTTTCGGTTTGGTATGGGATTCCCGAAATATCGAGAAGCCAATCCCGAATCCCATACCGAAATTTTGGGATTGGTTTGGGATAGCATCCCGAAAATTTCGGGAATTTCGGTTTGGGAAATTTTTGGTTTGGGATCGGGATTTTTTCGGTTCGGTTCGGGATTTTCGGGAATTTTTTCCACCCCTAATTATAATAGTTTTGAACTCTCTCCTCTCTCTTAATAATAATAAATTAAAAGAAAAAAAATTATTTTGTCATGTTACTTTTCAATCCACAACATTTCGAGTTCAAACAATCTCCTCTCCCCTTTACATAGTTTTTATTTTTTTTTTTTTTTTTATTTTTTTAATATGACTCAGCCCACTATATTTCAAGTTCATATAACTCTCATTCTCTACTAGCATTTGCCTACACACTTTGTGTGTATGAACACATTTTTTTAGAAAATGAGAAGGAGAGAGGGAGAGAGAGAGAGAGAACGTGAGGGGAAGTGGGAGGTTTTTGTTTTTTTTTTTTTTTTTAAATATTGGAGGTATTTTAACATCACTTGTATGTGAGGTTTCAATAAAAAACAGTAAAATTTGGACCTGTGAAATTACATTTTTGCCCATCATTTTTTTTGTGTGATAGAAGACTAATTTATCTTTTCACTATCTTTCGGTTGACAAAGAAGATTTCGTTAATTAGTAGAGATTATAGTAGGACTCTTAACATTACACATTACTCAGAGCAAGAATAGTAATATCATTAACAAAAATATAATAATAAATCATCCTAACCCGCTCAGCAGAAGGCCCATCCATATTCCAAGCCCACCAAAAGGCCCATATACGGCCTCCGAGTTTGGTGAAATCTCTATAAAAGTAAACCCAAACCCCCCCGTTCTCATCATCGACCTCCCTCGCCTTCTTCTCTCTCTTTGTTTCCCCAAATCTCCTTCCCTTTTGAATTTTGATGCCAATTTTGCTGTAGGGTCTTACCAGAAATTTATCGAATTTCAATTTTTTTTTTCTTTTAAAAAATTCATAAATTCCCTCCATATTCCGAACCTTCTTCCCTCTCGCAAACCCTAACCCTACCCAATTTCCCTTCCTTCCTCGAGGGTTTGCGATGTTTCTCAAAATCTGAATTCGAACTCTGCAATTGGGCTTCTGATTCGTGTTCCGGAGTCTTCAATTCGCTGCAAGACTCCGAGAAATGCGTCTCTTTCACTTCAATTTTTGAATATCTTTGAGCTTTGCGTTCTGGGTTTTTTCTAGGGTTTCTGAGTGTCCAGCTCAATTTTTCTTTCCCCCTTTATATGTTTCTGTTTGACTGCCGAGAAAACGAAGGAAAGGGAGGGGAAATTCGTGGGTTCTTGCCGGAATGCGCTCACGGGTCGATTAATATGAGAGTTGAAGAAAAAGCTGAGTGATATGAGGGTTTGAATATGAGCGATGGAGATGTGGACAGTAGCAGCAGAGTGAATCAACCCAGTAGTAATGTACCGAGGAGAGCAGGAGGAGGAGGAGCCGATGAGTTTGGCCGGGCAGTGTCGATAGTTGCGGTGGCGCAGATATGCGAGAGCGTTGGGTTTCAGAGCTTCAAAGAGTCTGCGATGGACGCCATGGCAGATATTGCCATCCGATACCTCCGTGACTTAGGGAAGATGTCGAGTTTTTACGCCAATTTGGCAGGCAGAACCGAGTCCAATGTGTTTGATATTATTAGGGCGCTGGAGGATTTGGAGTCATCGCAAGGGTTTTTGGGTGCGGCGGAGGTGGGTCATTGTCTTGCAGAGTCCGGGATTGTAAGAGGCATTGTGGAGTATGTAGGTTCGGCTGAGGAGATCCCGTTTGCACAGCCGTTGCCTCGGTTTCCAGTGATCAAGCAACGAAAATTGATCCCGAATTTTGAGCAGCTTGGGGAGGCACCGCCAAGTAAGCATTTGCCCAATTGGTTGCCGGCTTTCCCTGATCCACACACTTACATTCAAACACCAATGTGGAATGAGAGGAAGACTGATCCTCGAGAAGATAAGATCGAGCAGGCTCGGCAGAGGAGGAAGGCTGAGAGGTCTCTGTTGAGTCTGCAGCAGAGGTTATTGTGCAATGGAGAGGCTTCTAGTTCAGGAGTAGCCTCTGCAGCAGTGGCATTGGCTGGTGGCAACGGCAGTAATGATGGAAAGGGATTGTTATTATTACAGGGGAATGAGACTGATCAAAGTAATCCATTCCTTGAACCCCCAATCCAGCCGGGGGAGAAAGATGCATCAGTATCCCAAGTGGTTTTGCCATCCCGGTTTTCGGATGAATTGGCAAAAGGGAACAACAATGATGGTTCTTCCCTTTTGGATGCGTTTGCGCCCGCCATTGAAGCAGTGAAAAGCGGAGCATGGATGGATGGAGACGACGAAAGGAGGCAGCTTCTTCCTGAAACCAGACCCGCAGTGAATTTCAAGTTGAGAAGCGGGAAGAAGTTTTTGGGGCAATCTTCGGATCTGAGCCTGCAAAAGAAGGGTTCCGGAAGACCGGCATATTGGTTCGGGCGAGAGGAGGAGAGGGATGACAAGAAGAGGAGAGCAGAGTTTATTCTTAGACAGTCGATGGAAAACCCACAGGAACTCACTCAGTTGTAGATTAATTTGACTGACTGGTTTTCTAGGGATTTTAGAAGTGGGGCTTTTGTGTACTTCGTTGTTCTACAAGTAGAGTCTGGCTGTTAGTAGTCCCACTCTCACATATTTTTTTGTTAGAGGTAATGTAAATGTATTTTTTTTCCCTTTCAATTTCCATGCTTTCTTGTGAACCAATTTTTCTAGGTTGAAGTTGTTTTTTGGAGTTTTTTCACCACCATTTGATATTTGTATTGACACATTGAATTCTAATATTGATTTGATCATGTAGAAATCATGTGCTCCTCCATGGTCTTCAACTTTTATTTCCTTTTTGGGTAGTCATTTAAAGTAAAAAAAAATGTAAAGCGGTTTTCCCACGCCTCTTTTCTCGCCATGTACGTATAAGGATAAATTGAGGTGAGGCGAAGGAGAAAAGAGATGTCTGAAAATTACTTCCCATGCTGCTTTTAGATTGGAAATTCAAAGTCAACACTTGATTTATCTGACTGGTGTCCCTTTATAGGCAAAAGGATGAGATTCAAATGAGCAACAACTTGCTTGCAAGAGGTTCACCGTTACTGTGGCGCATTATTGTATTGCGACATCACGTGACAGTAAACCACTTCCACATAAGTTGCTAAGTCATCTGTCTTTGAACTCCAGTTTGAGAAGCAGGCATAGCTGCTTCGAGGTGATGGGCCCCCAAACAAATCTCATTGGAATTATAATTAGAAAGCTGGGAAATCTCCAAGTTGAAATTATTTTAAAGGTATCTGTCATTGGTAGGGGGCTACAGATGTTGAGAGAAAATACAAAAGCACAGTCCAAGACAACTATAAAATGTAAAGAAACATATGCCAACTGATCTGCCAAATGCTGCCATTCTACCCTTTTAAAGGCCAAGAAAGAAACTAAAATCGGTCCCAGTTTGCTTGATTGAAAAGACCTCAGTGTTTGAGCTTCAAATCCATCTCCACAGGTAACACTCTGGCCCGATGGTTGAAAATCATAAAGTCAAGGTTGTCTGGTAGAGAAACAATCCTGCACTCCAATATAAACGAATGTCAAATATCTGATCAAACATCTTGCATATAGCATTTCCAGTGTCAAATTAGCTATCACTCCACAACTCTGAACACAACTCTGAAGTTCCAGTGCTGAAACCGTGGAATAAATAGCAACTGAGATATTTCATTCACACAGTTTTCTCTTGCAAAGTTTATGCCTAAAAAGCGCAAACATAGCTGCTTCTTTCCATGTTGAAGAGTACGCATTTGTTATCCACTCATCTCTATGAATATGCATCAAGGATTAGCCCTCAGTCTTACTGATGCATTAAAAGTTATTTATGCAAGGAAAATGAACTTGATAACTGATGGGAGACAAATTAAGGTCAACCACATCTTCAAGTAACCTTACAGTATCTGGCCATGCAAAGCGGGTTACAATATATTTCCCAACTACTAAACAAACCCAGATAGTTTACAAGTGAAGTCCGATATCAGGCTCATTCGTAGGTTGCCTTTAACTATTATCTTTTATAAGAGAGTCAGAGAAAATAGTTGCCCAAAATTATTAAGGGCAGCTTCTATATGCATTACGTAAATTGATGATCATCTTATGTTAAAGAAAGTTAAAAGCTATATTGCACACGGCCTTTTTTTGTCTCTAAACTCAAGATTTTAATCCCTACGTTTTGTATCTCTTTACAAACTTCCCTCCCTTTATCCCACTACTCTCACGTCCCATTTTTATCTCGATAATAAGTTTTTTGTTATGTGGTCGACTGTTTTTTTCAGATAACTCCCATTTGCATATTTGCAAAATGTTTCACCAATAACAACAGGGAGCATGTCAGTGCATTCCCATTTGAATAGCATTTAACTTCTCAGTTAACTAAGAATGTGAAACTATGTACTGAATCGCCAAAAAACTGCAGAATATTCTCTCTTACTTTACAATAAATTTAAAGAAAGAAAGTTCCGTTTTCAATCTGTAAGGGAGCTTTACCCCACAATCTTCAGAAGGACATGTGAACAACAGCTAATAACCTTATCCACAAGCCCCACTACAAGGAGATATACAAATTCCACTCTTAGCCTATGTTGGGTTTATCGATAATCGAGAAAGCAAAGAACTACCCTCTGCGCTTGAAGAAATGGATGTCAACCTCCAAATCTGTCCAAGTTGGTGGAAGAAGATAATACTTGGACAAAATTTTGAGTTGGCATCCATTTTTTCATTCAACACACATTCTCTTTATTTCAATCCAATCGGCCTTTGTCTTTCCATTATCCTATTATTGGTGAAAATATAAAAGAAAAGGATTTAACTCCAGGGTTTTCTTCTCAAAGTCTATCTTCCAATTAAGTTAAGATTTAATAAAGTTCCCAAAGTATTAACATATTCTGTTTATTTCACCTTAACCAATCACAAGGGAATATTCAAAGTTCCCGTAATTCTCTTTATGGTCTCTATTTTCTCAATCTGACTATAATCAAACCAGTGTATTAAAAGCAGTGAGGCGTGGGCGAGGCGTCCAAGGGATAGCCCGGCCTAGGCGTGAGGCATGACGCGAAGCCTCACAGGACCTAAATTTTTTAATACATACACTGAGCATACACTTATATTATATTAAAAAAAAAAAGATTATTAACCAATAATCATCCTGAGCGCACACATATATATACACACATATATAGACATATATTATATTATATATATATATATATATAAAATAGGGGATGAAAAGCACAATGAGCACACATATAACAATGCATGCAGACAACACACACATCCATTATATAAAAAAAAAAAAAAATCAGAAAAAAAAGGCAGAGAGACGATAGTGCAAGGAAGAGGTATGAGGTAGTTAAAACCCTACCCAAAATTTGGGTTTGGGAGTTAAAAAAAATAAATAAAATAAAAAATAAAAAAAGCCCTGAGGCTCTCATTCCGCCACCTAGGTGGCTCCGGCAAAGCCTTACGCCCACTCCCTCAAGCCCAGCCTCAGAGGGCGCCTAGGCGCGCCCTGAGGCGAGCCTTTTAAAACATTGAATCAAACATAAATTTTGAAATTGTTGAGATCTTCTTTCGATCCAGTCCTTGCCAAATCACAAATTCGCAAACATGATATTCTAGACCATATTATATGCAAAGTGCATAAGCATAACACAATGACTACAGTTTACTTCAACTTTCAATTCAATCGAAAATAAGTCCAATCACACCTTGAACTCAAATCTAAGTCATATGTTGAACAGAATAAAACGCATAAACATACCGATTCTCTTCAGAATGGGGATGAATCGAAAGAAACGTGCCCGGGACAGTAAGTGCCGCCCACATACAGAACGCTAACCCTAGAAGCAATTCAACCACCACCTGCATCCACAACAAATCCTTTTAGACAAATAAGCACCTAAAACACAATCAGAACAATTTTCAGAATTTGTTTTTGCTAAATCTTACAGTCAATGGAGGTCCTGGAAACTCTTCCTCCATAATCTTCAACAATCCTCTGTCTGCAATCAAATCAATCAACCAGTCCAATTTCAATCACACAAAAACCCTAAAAAAAATTTACTCAACTACTGCAAATCGATCTATAAATACATACACACACACACACACACATAGACATATAGATATACAGAAGATTAGGGCTTACATTGAACGGTTGAATAAGCGGCATGAGAAAGAATTACAACGCCTAAGATGCCAACAACGAAGCCCAAACTCATCGCCATTTTGGCTGCGATCTCGAGCAGGCTAGAACTCCGGTATCGGCCCTAAACGACGTCGTTAACGATGCAAGCACGAATTGTCGTTTGGCTCTTCTTCTCCAGCCCACACTGAGAGCTTCTTCCCCGTTTTGCTTCGCTTTGTAGAAGCTGCGAATTAATACCTGGGAAACTACATGCCGTCTTATGAATCAGTTCTTGCTACGAACCGTTTCATTCTTTACGACACGTCATCTTTTCATGCAACCCTCTCTACCCCCAACTAGTGTTGGGCACGCGCCGGGACCAATTTTGAAAAGACCGGACTGGACTGGACTTGAGTTTAAAAAAGACGGGTCGAGTCGGGTTCACGGGCCTTTTGGTTTTTTTGTGAAAAAAAAAAAAAAAAAACTTAAAATTTGCACATATTCACTCCCAACACATATTTACTACCAGTGCAGTATGCAATTTTACAATTTGCACAAATTCAATCCTTGCACAGATTCACATACAATCCAAACATTACAAAGAACGCGTTGTCTAGTGCAATAACTTTTTTTTCATATGAACAAGGTTGGGCCTGTAATTCTTTATAAGAGTTACAAAATGCGATACAAACACAGAAAACAGGATAAATTATCTAATTCCACTGTAGATTCACAAGCGCACTCTTCGGTCTGTCATTAAGGTTCTATTGTATGATGAATCCGTGGTCTTCTGGGACAAAGTAAGAGGAGAAGCCTACTTATCCTAGTGTATCAAACAAGGAAAACATTGGCAAAGCATTTGCAGAACTCGAACTCCTATTGCATTTACCAACAAAAAAAAAAGAATCCTATTGCATAATCGCAAGACAATGGAGAGTGCCATTATAAACTGTTGCCCACAAGCCCTCAAGGGAATTCACAAAATGGAAGTGCAGAGTGCTAACGCAAGGCAATAACCATAGTGATCTAGCTCATTTCCCTATCTTGTAGTAGTAATTATATTGCTTCTTTCCAAGAAAAAGAAGCAAGTAGCTCTTAAATACAAGTTGTTTTTTCATCCTGGAAAATTTCCATACAGGAGCTAATCATGTAAAAGCATGAACCACAAGAAACTATTGTGACATCCCACATCGCCCAGGGGTGATCCTTATATGTATATTCTCATCCTTACCTAGCACGAGGCATTTTGGGAGCTCACTGGCTTCGGGTTCCGTAGGAACTCCGAAGTTAAGCGAGAAGGGGGCTAGAGCAATCCCATGATGGGTGACCCACTGGGAAGTTGCTCGTGAGTTTCCAAAAACAAAACCGTGAGGGCGTGGTCGGGGCCCAAAGCAGACAATATCGTGCTACGGTGGTGGAGCGAGCTCGGGAAGTGGTCTGCCCCGGGTCGGGATGTGACAATTTGGTATCAGAGCCTAACCCCGGCCGCGTGTGTGCTGACGAGGACGTCGGGCACCGTGAGGGCGTGGTGGGGGCTCAAAGCGGACAATATCGTGCTACGGTGGTGGAGCGGGCCCGGGAAGTGGTCCCACCCGGGCCGGGATGTGACAACTATTCCCCACCCCAAGAACAAATTTCGTTGTTTCAATTTCACAATTAACTTCGAGTAAATCAAATGCTTCCAGCAATTTTTTCGCTTCAGTTAAACCCCACATCATACAAAGGATGATATCATGAACAAAGCACCACCTTCTGTTAAGTAATTGTAAATAGAAACTACAGAATACATAGAACGACTACGCGGAGCTGTTTGAAAAATAACCAAAATCATAAACCGTAATTGCGAATCCGACAATATCAACAAACCACAATTTCATCTATTATCCATGTACTATAACAACGACACTAGTTTAAAAATAATTCCTCCGCAATTCAATACAACAAACAATACTAGGGGAAAATATTCAAACTAAGCTTTAACAAATGAATAGAATAAACAAATGATAATGCGATTACCTACGAATGATCATTTGCAATGACTTAAATCACAAAATGTAAATTAACGAAAACATTACTTGCGAATATTTAAAGCTTAAGAGACGGAGGAATGGGTAGCTCAACTCAATATTAGCTCTTGACCTGCATCGGTTATAGCCCTTTGCCCCTCCCTCCCATAACCCAAACACCCACGAAAATGAATACCCAATACCCAATACCCAATGGGAGGGCAAATTAACCCAGTAAAATCAACACCCACAAAAATTCTCGATATTCATCAATCTACAAATCCTAATTTAAAAACCCTACAATCATTACACTAGAAATTCACATTAATAACAAAACCCTAATTCAAAATTACTTAAATTTTAGAGAGATGATGGTTGGTAGCAGTGTCCTCGACGGAGCTGATGGGGGTGATGGTGGTCGCGAATGCGGTGGTGTTGTTGAAGAGGAAAGAATCGAGCCAACGTGGTTTTAGGACCTGGGTTCTCTAGGGTGTCGTTGAGAAGGATGGCTGGATGGGTGATGCCGTTGGTCGCAACGGCAGTGATGGGATGGGTTCTCTAGGATGTCGTCATAGTCGAGGGAGTCGAAAGAGTGACAGATGGTGAAGAGGTGGGAGTGAGACTGATTCTAGAAACCTGGACTTGGGATGACTAGGGTAGAAAAATTAGAAACTAACAGTTCAGATTGGACGATAGGTTATCATTCAATCTCGATCGTTCATTATAATTAGAAACGGGTTGGTCCAGACCCCATTTTTCTAGGGTTTAGGACTCGGCCTGCCCCGACTCGTGGTTCCTTTATCTGTTTGCCCACCCCTACCCCCAACTCTCCCAAATTCTCAAATTCTTCTCCAAACTTCTTTCCCACATCCTCATGCATTTCTCCCAAACGTCACTGTTTCGGTGTATCTTAGAGCAAATTTCCTTACCATTAATTTAGCATTTAAGTGTAAGGTAATTTACTCAAAACTCTAATCCACCAGATAAATTGCACTTCTTTTTTATGTTTAATGTGATTATTTTTCAATTGGATTTTGCTGTTTTAGGCCAATGGAGGAAAATTGAGTTCCTTGCCTCATTTGCAGACTCTGAGAAAATTTCCAAAGGGAGGAGCTTGCTGCAAAAGTGGAATAACAGAGATTCCAATCCGATGCAATATTAACAATTAAGTATTTACGATCCGGGGCTAGAGTTGTTCTTGCTACTTATTGGAGTGTTGTTGTGAATATTACATTTAAGAACGGGAAAAACAGAACAAATTCGAGAAATCGAAAACAAAATAACCAAGATAAACAACACCAAAAATTTATGTGGTTCGGTTATATGTACCTCTTCCACAAGGCAACAACAACAACAATCTTTTATAGCATATCAATAATGAGTACAACGGATAATCTACCCAAGCCTCTAGGATTAATACTTCATGAAAACTTGAAAGAAAAAGAGCAAGAAATATACTCTTATCTCTTTTTTAACTCTTGCACACATTTAGCTCCTCTCTTACTCTATGTCCTTGAGTGGTATACAAATTATTGCTTTGCTCCAAATTCAAAACTAGTATAATAGCCCCTTTATATAAACATAATAAAAGTCTTCTTCAATAAGGATTACTAATTGTAAATGGAATATAGTTATAAATCTTTCTCAAATTGAGAAACAATTGGGAAAACAACTTAAATTGGGTAAGCAACAATTTAAATTTGGTAAATAAACTTCGGTTGGGTAAACAACTCAAACTCTAATTGGGTAAATGATGTGATAAAAGATAGCACTCAAATTAAACCTTTTTTTTTACAATTGTAGTATAGATATAAGTAGGGATCGTTCTAGGCCGGGGATTAGGAGGGATTGCTAATCTAATGAAAACTGACTCAAAGATACAAAAATATGCTTAAAAACACTTAAACAAACTCAAAGACTCTCAACTAAACTTATATGACTCAAAACAAACTTAAAAGACTCAAAACAACACAAAACAAGCAAATAGACTCAAACTAGACTCTATGACTCAATTTGGACGAAAATAGAATTGGTTTTGACTAAAAAACACTCAAAATCACAATTAGGACAGATTTGACACAACTAAATGAAGGGGATTGGGTTTTTGACGAAATTAAGATAAAAACAAGTAACTAAAAGACTTAAAAGAGATTTGGACGAATTTGGGAATATGGATGGGTGAGTAGCTAGCTAGAGGGTCCTTCTCCACACATGACACACTTGCATACAAATTGATTTCCAGTTGCTTTTCGATAAACCATGAACCTCAACACCCCAGATTAACCGTGACATCACTAATTAACCCTCAGATTTTCCTTAAGTTATTGGATTGGATGACATCATACGACAATCCAAAGCATTCTTCAAAAGTTCCCTACATGACATCATAATAGAGATACAATCAAAGATCATTACGTTCTATGAAAATCATAAGTATTGACAAAGCACTTGTAACTATGACATCATGATACACATGCTAGGAATTTACTTAACATGATTGTGAAAACAACCTTAACTACTTGTGAACATAAGTTTGTAACGATTATGTGAAACTCCCTTATATTCTAGCACCAAATTCAAGCATGCAAATTAAGTGTGCACCCTTAATCAACAAACAAGAACAAGTTATCCATCAAACGGTTAAGTAAATTGCATTCACAATTTATGAAATCACAACTGGAATTAATCAATTCATATTGCAAATATAATCATGGTTTCAAACTCTCCTCTAGCCAAAACAAAATTAGTTCCTCATGTTTACAACAAAACAAAGATAATATAAATTAAACATTGAAAACAAAGATTGAATACACCTAGAAACGCTCCAACAATCCAAGTTTAAATGGCCAAAACGTCCAAGGCTTCTCCTCTCTTCTTTCTGCTTCTTTGTTGCGGCACAAGGGTGTTTGGGTATGAATTATGGTGATGGATGGATAGGTTGGATGGTGGTAGAGGGTGGATGATGGCTGAATGAATGGGGAGAATGAGGAATAATTCGTATAGATGTGTATGGCTGTCTAGAATCTCCAATATGTGCAGCAGATTATGTATATATAGAGGGAGAAAGGTTAAGGCAATAAGTAATTAATTTGGGAATGTATTAAGACTCCAAATCCTCCAAGAAAAGGGTAACAAATCAGAATTCTTAGAGGGAAAAAGGGAGTAAAATAAGCAGCAAGGAATTGGGAA